TTCTCTGCTCTCAAAGACCAAGGTCCGCGGGAATTACAGCAAGTCCTAATGCAGTCCAATGCCACAAATCTGTGCAATTACGCAAATGTGATTGTGGGGGGGCCGGCCAGACATTGTTTCACGGATACAGCCGCAGAAATGGTACTTATTCCAACTAAGGAGTGAGTTTCAAGAACAAATTGGGATATTTCATAAGCTTTCTACCATTGTTGTAAAGATATGAACAAAAAAACAGTCGAGAAATGACTGAATATTTAATTTATGTTTCGGAGCATTTTTGGAGTAATTCCAAATAAATATATATATGCAAAAAAAAAAAACATGTGTGGTCTAAAAAAACCAAAATACTACATGCATATTTTTTAAAACTTTTATTCGAATGTGGAAAATCCAACTGATATTTCGGAATCTCTGTCTCCTGGCCACAGACTGACACTTATTTTAGAAAGATTAAAATCATTCTGACTATACATCACATATTTGCATTAAGAGCATAAGTATGTAATTATGTCGGTAAACTACATGTATGATGAATGATATCATATGTTCATTAGTGACTGACTGTAACATATTTTCAAAGATCATCAGCCTTGACTCGTTTCCAGAACTCTTGAGAAAAGTGCAAAATGAACCCACTTGATTAATTCATCCACTGTTTTTTTACTTTGTATTATTATATCATATCAAAGCACAATCCATATTATACAAATTGTGCTCCCGTGTTTACAGAACTCATATAAATGATGTCGGCAAATATGATACTATATGTAATGATGACTTAAGGGAAACTCTTCTGTCAATTTTATGCAATTTACATTTTACAAATACTTACTAGTTTTGTGGAGGCTGTTGATTTAGGTAATAGTTGTTTTCAGCACGGAACAATGAACGACGTGATTGGTTAATGACTCAGACATTTATGCAAACACTGATTAAGGACAGACTTAAGCAAAAACTCAATTTGGTCTGAAAATGACTTAGTTCACAAAAATTACAACTTTTAAGAGAGACAGAATGGGCCAAATCCTCTCACATTGACAACAGAGGTCAGTGGGGCAAGAAAAGATCAGCTAAACTTGCTTAATCATGTGCTGTTGCAACGATGGCGTCTGCGGCTGAAGGAGAGTGGAACTGATATGCAAAGAGAAAAAAATCAATAGCAGCATCATCACAGCTCACAAACATAAGGAACAGTGATCCGCTCTAACTCTGTGTGAAATTCAACAATCGATAGGACACTGCAACAAATATTTGAAGAGTGTAACCTTGCCTTTACGGCCCTCGGTGCACCGCATTTCTCAACTCATTTCAAAACGTAAATGAAATGCTTTTGATTTGCAGTTTTACTTCTACAATGCTATATACAGTATGTCTGCTTCTAACTTTGACCGAAATCTTTTTTATTGATTGTTGCTTGAAGAATTCTCACCTTCTCCAAAAGGTGAATAGTTTATAAATTGGATTAATGGAGAAATCATTGTTGGGAGGAACTCTTTATTAGAAATATGTCTCCGGAATTTGATCCATCCTTCAATGCGGCTGAAGTTTAGTGGAGATCTAAAAGTCCTCGCTTTCCAGAGAATAGTTGCATTATCCAGGAGTAACCCCACATATCACTCAACGCTAACACTGAGTATTGAGTGGCATTGGTGACGCTTCAGAATAACAATGTGAATGTAATGTGGTATAAATTATGCGTCATTAAACATACAAAGAACCGATTGAGGCTAGATCCAGAGCGGCTGCCACTGTGGTCTCACCTGGACAGAATTGGAGGTTTGGGAGAAACCTTTAGATACAAGGAGAACATGGAAACTCCCCCCAGAGGCAAAAGCGTTAACCACTCATCCACCATTATAATAGATTGGCGGTGGTCAAATGTCTTTTTCAGACAAGGCCAGAGCTTTCCACAGTTTCTGAATGAGAGTCGTATTGCAACATATGGAGCGAAGGGATCTGCAGGGGCTATATCCATGTGATTTTTAAGTTACGGAAACATTTTTTTAAATATAGATTTGGCCAACTTGTGCGCAGCCTTAGTGCCAACAACGTAGTTTTTCGGGGTCATGGTTTCCCCAAGAACAGCAGCTATGACTCCAGAAGTAGCACCACCGTAGCCAGGGCAAATGGAATGGAAAGAAACTCAGGCTTTTTTAATGTCATCATTTATGGACATTGGTCATCTGCCCCTTATGGACCAATGGCTCTGTGTTTTTATCGTTGCATTTCTTGTGTTTGAACGATTTGATTCACTGATCCGTGTTGGCAAATTCACAGTCCTTTGAGATAACTACTGTAGTGATTTAGGGCTATACAAGAATAAATTGTATTAAATTTAATTTAATTTGAAATGCCACATTCAGTCTTTAAAAACCTTCCCATGTGTTGCTTTTCCAAACCCTTCTTTCGACCTGAGGGTGCACCATTCAAAAATCAATTAATGTAACACTTCTTCGTCTTCTGGCCTTAATAATATTGAAGGATCAGGATGGTTTGGTGTCTGTCGTTCTAAGGACTAAAGCTACAGGTGCAGTTAGAATATAGTATGGCTGTGTCACAGGCAGCGCTAACACCAGAACTGCCACAGCGCTGACAGCCGCGCTTCGGCCTAAAACGAGGTGGTTTGACCCGACATAAAGGGATCAGATTTACTCCAGGGCCAGTCTGCCTCTGGAGGTGACTGCTGCATTCATCAAAATCACTGTCACACACAACGCTGCGCCGCATTCGGTAAAGACAAAAGGAATAAGAGGAAGAAGGTTTAGATAGTGTGCGTTTTTGAGTGAGCTGTTACAGAGATGTGTGCAGCGCTTAAAGATCTACTTAAGTGTTCTTTCATTGTGAACGCATCTGCTTCAGATGTGGCTTTATGTGCACTGCAAAACTAAAATAATCATCTGAAAGCAGAAATGGATATGCAAGAAAATAAAAACAATTGTTATGTAACAATTTTCCTGTGGGAGCATTAATGAGGGCATACTGCACACACTGCATAGACACGATGACAATACACACAACTGCTTTTGTGTTAGGAATGTACAGTGTGTAGCATGGAGTCAGACTTTAGTTTAGGTCCATGTACTTGCAGCTGTTGTGCCCATTTGTCTGAAGACAAAGATCAGGTCCAATTCCAATTCCATGTGTAGTGAATCTTTCACAAGAACGTCCACCCAGAAGGCTGTTGTCTCTTAAATATAATGAAACAACAACATTTGAACTACATTTTGTCTTGACTTTGGTCATGTTTTTATGTGAATACATTACACAAAATATACAGAAAATGACTGAGCACATTTTTCCCCTTTTTTATCCTTGTCCCAACACTGTAATAATTATCAGGATGGAAAAGTACTGGATCTTTAGCCTGTCGGTCCGTGAAACTCTCTCAATTTGGGCCTCCCCGAGGTTTCTCACTTTGTTTTTGTTTTTTGTACAGTAGTTGTTTTTGCTGATGCAGGAGGCTCTAAGGACAGTGATAATCCGGGACATGTGAGGACATATGAGGACATTTGTAAATATTTATGGACATTTATCAACATTTATAGACATCAGCATCACCCTCCTTTTGGACCAATGTCTCCTATGTGTTTGTTATTTTTTCATTTCCTGTTCATTTCAGATTCTCTGATCTGTTGTTGAAGACTCACAACTTTGTAAAGTCCTCCAAGACAACTGCTGCATAGTGCATCGCTGCATTATCTCTGCACTTACAGACAGAATATCCTTGATTCCCTCTTCAGTCCTCTTCAGTAAAACAACAATAGAGCACTGCAGGACTCCCCTCTAGCAAACCCCTTTCTGTGAGCAGCCTGTTGAATAAATGTCATATTCAACACCAAGAATCTGGGAAAGTTTTCCTCAATTTTGCACACTTTAATAACTTTGTGTTATTAAAGTGACACTTTAACCCGTGTAATAAAAGCTGTGGCTGTGTTCACATAAATCTTCTGGAATCTTTTGTGTCAGCTTCCCATGCCAAATATGAACAGAGCTGGCATTGTTTTTAATAACACTAGAATAAGCCTCCACACAGAGGAGAATAATGAGTTACAGTTACATTACTTATTGATAAATTGTTCCATTGTTGAGATATAACTGCAGTATAAATATATAAAAATGGCGATTGCACATTTTTCTCTTGTTGTTTCTTGATTTTCAAAGTTGCTTAACAATAGAATCTTCCAAAGTCTTTCTTGCACGTTGCGTCATCCCCGCATCATTCTCTGCAGCTGGACGATAACCTGAGCCAAGGTTGCACAATGAAGTACATGAACTCTCTCCCTTCTCAAATACTTTCATTTCTTTAATTTTTGGAAATCTAAGGAAGAGTTTATCTTTTTTTTCTTAAAACAGGGCTTAACATAGAAGTTATTATCTTACCAAAAGGAACACATTTTATCGACATTTTTTGCAATTTTAATTATGACTGTATTCATGACAGCTGTGTTAAAGGTGATGTCAGACACTATACCAATAAAGTTATATTTCTTATATTTCATGACAAGGATTCGATTTAATTTCAACCAATAAGGAAGCAGCAGGTTCATTCTCTCTTTACAATTTGAAATGCAACTGCCAGTCACTTTAAAGAAACAGTTTGCTATATGACACCTTGGACTGACAGCTGATTGGCTCTGCGAGGGTGGTCCTCTCTTCTTCACTGTTTCTGTCTGAAAAAGCGGATCTAAAGCACATAAAAACATGCATGTGGGAACTAGTGATTCAACAAATGTGTTTAGTGTGGGGAATTAGTTCGAGGAATTTTATCACATAGTTCCATTGTATGTGGTATAAAATGTAGGTACCATGGCTTTGCTGGATTGTGTAACCAAAGAAAATCCCTCATAATTTATGATTGAGAGCTCCATGTTCTCTTCTTTGCACCCACACTCTCAATTTAATCCTCTATACATCCAGAGCTGAACTCCAGTGCTGTAAACCCAGTGTTTATCCATGTTTATCCCCCTCCTCTTCCTCCTCGGCTCTTCTCTGCGGGCAGCTCAGTCCTCCACCTCCTGCCACCTCCACTCCATTCTCGAGCTGCGGACTGCGGTTGCCAGATCCAGGAGCGCTGTGCCATATTCTTCCAGCTGCCCCTCGCTCCCCTCCTCCCATCCCGTTTGCTTCACTTGTCTCCGTAACACAACCTTCACCAAATCTGCAGACGCCTGATAAGACATGGCCAAGAATGGCAACGAGGAACACGCACCTCTGAGTTCCCGGCCTGCGTCTATCCGTGCCAATGATGTGGTTGTCGAAATTAAACTTTTTAATTAGCCGCGTGGCCCATGTGGCGTCTGGAGGCCGGGCCAGACCGGGGCAGCTCTCTCCTCTCCTCTTAAGCCTGATTACACTTGCACGGAGCTGGGGGTTCGCAACACCTCAGGAGCAGTTGTGTTTGTTTGCGGTTGGAGTGTCTCTCAAGAAGGGAACATGGCTGGGGAAATTAGAAATTATTTGGCTTATTGGATATCTGGTACCAATTTGGGCAAATGAGCCAGTGCGATTTCAAGTTGTTCTCAAGGTTCATTTGCTCATTTGGTTTTGAAAGTCTGAAAGGGGTCAAGTTTTGGCAAGAAAACAAACACCCGGTTCACGTTTCCCCTACTTGCCATTTCTTGCATTGGGTTATTAAGAAAAAAATATAATGTAGTAAGGCAAATACAGCAAATGAAAGTATGTTTAGTTGGTCAAAAACTATGTATTACACCAGGGTTGAAAATGTATAGTATTTTTACAAACTTTTTCACCTGGGGAGCTACTTTCTCAGGACTAGAATGAGACAAAGCTACTCCTAGTCTATTGAATGGCGAGAGATAGAAAGCCTTGGTACTATTACTATAAACAGAACATCTTCTAATTCATCACATTTCTAGTTTTCATTTACGTAAGTCGTGGGCATGTGTTTAATATGTATGGAAAATATAAATTATTTGGTGAGCTACTTGGAATGGAGCCATGAGCTACTGATTGCTCCTGAGCCAAAAGTTGGAGAACAGGGGCCGTATTCCTAAAGATTCTTACTGCTAAAAGTTGCTCCTAGTGGCCAAATTCTAAGAATTTTCTTAGAATCTTGACCAACTCTTAGAATTTCCCCTAAAAGTGAGCAGTAGCTCCTAGTTAAGATAAAAGCTATTCCTAAAAAATCCTAGCTCTTAAGAGTGCTCTTAAGGGGAGATCCCTTAAGAGTTGAGAGGAGGACTTTTAGCGACTTAAAAGTTCCCTAAGAGCACAAAATGGTGGACGGTGGAGACAGGAGAAATATTCTATACACTGGATGACAGTGAATCAGTGAAACGCTACAGATTCAAGCAGGAATCATGTTTGTGGTATATTTAAAAGTCAATCATGTGACCAGCTTCTTATTGGCTGGTCAGCAATAACACCTCATCCATTTTACCTTTGTTACACAAAAGTAAGTAGAAATGGTAAAAGTTGAAAGAGAGGAAAAAGTGGTCCTAAATTGTCACACATTCAGTACGAATGAATGAATACTTTATTTTGAGCCATGGCAAACAAGAAAAAAAAGGACAAAACAAACAAAACAACAACAGAATAGAAGTACAAATATACAGTTTTGTTTTATTAACAACAATCCAGCTCAAAAAGGAGTGGGAGAGGATAAAACTTTTAAGCTCCCTTGTACTTGATTTGTACAGTGTATGTATAATATGTTTATATTAATATTGTTTCCTTAATTCCTTATAAGTCTATACATATCACAGCCTTTACTAATCCTAACGTTATCATTATCATCATTTATCCATATAATATTTATAATAATAATTTTCTTTATCATGTATATTATATATAGAGTAATATTTAAATTATATGTATATGTATATATATATATATATATATATATATATATATATATATATAAAATTATAAGTGCTCATGATATATACGTATTATGTGTGATAAATTGGTGCTGAGCAAGCTCTGATGATGGTGTATAAGTCTAACTTTACTATTCACAGTATTTATGTACCATTGATATATCTGACTTTATAGCTTTTGGTTATTATTTACAATAACACAGTGTTCCTAAGATTAGATTCCATGATTGAGTTTGTCCATTTTAGGGCCCTTATTTTGCCTATTATCATCAAAAATATGTTTGTTCTAACTTTTAGGATCAACCAATCACAGCGTCTGAAATGATGACTCATACCTAGCAACGGGGTCGGCCACGCCTCCTCACTAAGATAAAAGTTGTTGTCAATTCCTTGCTCAGAGTTCTCTAAGAGTGTTCTGGAATAACTTTTAAGCTAAGACTCCTAGCTAGGAGTTTTTAGGTTAAGATAAGAGCTCTCTGAGAGGACTTTCAGAATCTTTAGGAATACGGCCCCAGGTCTATAGTCCGCAGTTGACGCACTCACTGCAGCTAATATAAAAAAAAGATACTCACAATACGACTCCTTCATAATAAAATGGGCACATTTCTGAAAGGGATTATTTTTGCAAAACCCAAAAGAAAAATTATCATTCTCTTTTCATGCAAATACCGTGCTCGTGAATTCATATGAAAATAATGTATATATTCATCCACGCTGCATCCTGCCTGACCCTGTGTCGCTAAATACAACATGAATAGATCAGCACTTCGGTTACAACGTTCCCCTTTTTCGCTTTGTTGAATTGCAGCTAATTCTGAATCCTTTATTGCGTTTCTTAAATGGGTTTGATCTTTAAGTGACATGTTCTGTAAGTAGAGGATAAAAGGCCGAGGTGCAGCGCTCGCTCTGTTTGCATACGAGAAAAGAGAAAATCGCTCTTGAGCAGTTAATGGCTACGACCAATTTCATCCATTTCCTCGCCTCTCTCACACACATTTATCTTTTTCTTTTTTCTTTTTTGGCGTCGCAGTATAGCTACTCTCCAGTGCTTTCAAGTGCAAGTCTATTTTACTTAGGGTTTGACTTTAATTCAACGTTTTTCCCGCTCTCTCTGAAGTGGCCGTAGGTCTCCAGTTCACTGTGAAGATTCATATCCACTTTATTTCTGTGTCCATCATGAAAAGAGCCAGATAAAAGTCTGTTTCTTTTTACCTTTTGTCATCCTCTTCGAAGAGTTTCTCGTCTTTGGACATAGAGAGATTGTCTGCATTTGAAAGAGTCCCGTTTCATCTGTTAAATTATTTATTTCCCTCCCAAAAAAATAAAGTCTAAATCATTTTCTCATGCTCAGAGGGATCCCTGCCGCTGAGAAGATTATTTGCACGCATCCAAATTGTGCGAGTGTGCTTCCAATCTTAGGCAGGAGAAACAATGATTCAGTTAGCAAAGAAATGCCCGGGTTTACAGATGTCGTAAAATCTCTGCAAATAAGACTACCTCGGGAATTGCGACTGTCAATCACGCTTGTCAAGATTCCAATTTTGCGTCTACATCTCCTGGAGCACTCGCACACCCGCTCCCGCTCCGTATTGGCTGCCGGCGATGTGGTCTCATGACACAGGCCGATGCATTTGTTGGGCAGAAGGAAAAGGCACGACAGGGAACGGTCATAGAGCCAACATGTGCCACTGTGGGTTCCCAGGCCATGCACTCCGATAGCGGGGTCTGTGTCATGTGTTGATGCCAGAGGGAATGGAAATCTGGACTTCTTCTGCATTCTCATGTGACTGTTAATGTGTAGAGGATTTAAGCACTGATTTTCGAATCCCAGCAAAAGCTCCATTTCCAAGAAGATTAATCTGAGAAATTGTATAAGTATATAAATGAATCAGGGACTTTTTACCGTTATCCTCCATTTAATACATTTGTGTCTGGTTTATACAGTACTTTATGGGCAGTCGAGATGCTTATATTCCATTATTCATTCACCCCACATGTGGTAGTGGTAATCTACTACTACAGCCATAGCTGCCCTGGGACAGACTGACAGAAAGGCCTGTCTGCTCCATTGACACTCAAGACCCATTACAGTACTAACCTGGTCATTCTTTATTATTGCTCAATTCACTTATTCTCTTTTTGTTTGCTATATATCTTTAAAAACAGACAATAGCATTACACATTGCAGTGAAAGTGGTCTGCAAAGCCACGTCGCAAGAATATTGGTATCTACGGTATTTTGGACAATCATATGGAGGCGATTTTATAAAAATATATAAAACTTTGTGTGGAAGTTTGAGATCGGTATTAGGGCTAATTGTTTTGGTTTGTTTAATTCACAGTGAAGTACTCCTGGTCAGTTTTTATGATCTAATGTTGACCAGTTTTATTTTTCTGTGTGTTTTATAGTGTTTTAAGGTATTTTTATTTCCTGATTGATGGAAATAAAAATGATTGATGGTTTTTAATGTGTTGTCAATCTAAAGCACTTAGAGTATACAAATACGTGTTGATTGATGGATATGTATATTATGTATATATATATTAAAGCTGCACTAACTGACTTTATTTTCGTATTAATTACGAAAATGCTATCCATGTCCATGTAGTGCATTGGGATATACGTCCTTTTGAAGAAAAAGTAGCGCAGATTTGTGCTGGCCTGACATTATATTTTCGATCGAGTTTTGATGAAACAAGGAAGAGAATGTGTTTCGGGTCGCAGATTGTAACCAATCACAGCGCACCACTAGCCCCCACTTTCGTGAGAAATCTCCAGGTCCGTTAGCACAGACAGCTGAGTTAGCACAACAAGCGGCGGAGCTAACCTGAAACTTTCTCGTCTTCGTCACCGGTTACTGCTTACACAGCGAAACAGCCATCCAAAAGAAAGTCTCGTTCCTCCGCGCTTCCCGGTTCTATCGTTCTATGGTCACGCCATCCACGTGAAAATCCATATCCATGTATTATCCATATTGGGAGACGCTAGCTCCGTCTCAACACTGTGTGTGTGGGGGGCGATAGCTTCGTGGGTGCGGGGAGGGGAGCAGAAAGAGAGAGGCCAGCGGGTCTGCTGCTTCAAAATCCCAAAGTCAGTTAGTGCAGCTTTAATGAATAAATTGCATTTTTCAAAACGTTTTTTTCATCAACAATTTCTTGAACATTTTACCATTTCAGAATGCATTTTTTGGTTCAATTACTGTAAAAATATTGAAAAAAAGCAGCCCTTGTTTGCACTACTTACTTTGACCAGATCGTGAATATCAGTTACTTTTCAAAGAGACCAGCGCTGGTTAGACCTGCCCATGCTCACCGCCACAGCTTCCTGATTGGTTGAAATGATTTCAAATCTTTGAGGCTCCTTATCATTGGTTCACTATTCTACTCCAGCAAATCTTACTGGTAGTTGTTATGCCAAAAGGAGGGACTATTTGGAATATATTTTAGTTGAAAAATCTTTACCTTAAAATACAATTCTTGGTTACTGACATCCCCTTTAACCCAAACTCATACATAAACATTCTATTAAAGTCAAATTTGTCTAACCGTGCAGGGAACACGGCAATAATAGAGCAGCAATTCTTTTCAGCTCTTTCTATCACCTCTTTCCACAGTGGCACATTTTCTTCCGCAAGACTATAAAAATGCAAATTGCTTGACCATCCAAAGCTCCCAGTGTTCCTCCTCATATCTCCAGTTCATTAGCGTCTCCTTTACATGGTTAATTGAATTAGCAAAGTGATGCGTTGGAGACTCCGGAGGTGCCAGCTCGTTCTTGTGTCTTCCCCCCGAGTCGCTGTCACGCGCAGGCAAACACACGCCGGCTTCCAGGATGTTGTTTGCCATGATCGTCCCCGTTCAGCGCTTTGAAGTTTTTCTCATCGCTTTATGTTGTTTACTTATTCATGGCCCCTTCTTTTCACCACACATCACCATGGGGTATTCCACTGGTGTAATTTTAGCTCAGTGTGAAACAATGTACGAGTTGAGTATTAGATATGTAAACTGCTGAAAATGTGGTATGTACAAACTGCCAGGGACCAAGTGATGCCACGGGGACTTAAAGGTGACCTATAGATAGATCAGTTAGATGAGATTAGTTATATTTGTAATTAATCATTTTGATGTTATATTGGGAAATAACATATAGCTATATAAATAGTCATCATCTAGTGTTTCTCTTTCTCTATATATTCAGTTTCATGTATTTTATTGTTTTGTTTGCTTGTACTTGTACTTGCTTTGTTTGATTTTACTCACTCAGTGGAGCATAGTCAGAAAAAAATAAAATGTATCTCGTTATGCTGTATGTATTATGGGAAAAAGTGGGAACTAATGAAGATGACGCAATAAATGAATGAATAAAAATATGTATTTGTAATGGGAAAAAAACACAGGTCTTATGGTGCATTCAGACCGCAAACGCTGAAACGCTGAAGCCCCGCTCACCAGACGCGCATTCTCTAGTTTTCAGACGTAGAGGACTTCACACCAGAACGTCCTGACGCGAGCCGGAAGTAGCCGGCCGGGTCTAATGCTAACAGAGCTATGCTAGCGGCTTCTTGTGTACAGATCTTCTCGAATATTCAGCTTTGCAGCGTGTCTTTGCTCACAGACATTCCACGGGCTTTATAAAACAGTAGTATGTGTTCACGGAGGTGCGCCATACGTTTTTTTGTATTATTAAACGGTATTTCCGCATCGGCGAACACTCGAAGCAGTTGCATAAGGTCACGGGACAATCACAACGCATATATTCACAAGCACAGAGTCCCCCATTGTCAACCTTGGTTTAGTCCTGGTTTAAGTAAGTAAGTAAGTAAGTAATCTTTATTTATATTTCACAGACCAGAGTCACAAAGCGGTTTACAATAGTTATTTCTTATTTTTTTGGGCTTTTTTTCCACTCCCTCCACACAGAGATGGGAGCGGGGTCGCTGAACAGGAGGCGCATGCCAGACCTATTGTACATATTTTTAGTTTAGTCCTGGTATAGCTCCTGTTTTGGCTGTTTACAGTATGTTCAGTCTGCTCGCTCAGACCACCAATGTCCCCGTGACCACTTTGCGGCTCTCTGATTGGTCGCTGCATGAACGTCCCGAGGAAAAGTTGAGCAAAGTTTATCTCCTGTGGGCGTTCATTTTCCGCTCCTGTTCCTCCCCTTTCACTTTCCCGCCAAGTCCGTGCGGCTCTACTCAGCGGTCCGTAAGTGCGTGTCGGGAGGTTGGTGCGTTTTGACGCTGCAACGCGCGTCACCATAGACTGCATTGAAACCCGACGCAACGCATGATCCGGTCTGAACCTCAGAGGATAAGCAGTGCAGACCCTGGTTAGACATGGTTAGTGGCCGGGTTAAGGTGTACTTTATTGTCACTGTAGGGATTTGTCCGCTACATTTGACCCATCCTGAAGGCTCCTAGGACAACCGGTCAGGAGCTGTGGTCATGTAGTACAGTGCCAGGAGCCACCGGGGCATGATTTTAGTGTTAGGGGAAACTGGAGCAACTGGAGGAAACATAAATTAGGAAAAAAAATAATGTATAAAGATGTTGTTTGTTCAGTATAGAGCAATAGAATAAACTATACTTGAAGTCATGAAGTGGACTATAACACACCAACAAGCAATGGAATTAATAAACTGACAGCGGTATTAAAGTGTGAAAAAAAATGGAACTAAACTAAAACTTTATATTGACATTTTTAGGAGCCTTCTGTCACTGTATTTTGACCTTTTATCTGCTTGAAAATGTTTCATCAGAACTCTGCATGAAAACTAGGAATATCATTTGACAAGCTAATTAATTGAAATGATAATTGTTAGCAACAGCCCTATGGTTCATACATCACAATTTTGGCATTTCCGGAAGATTGCCCTGGAGACTTTGATTTATAAACCATGAGAAAACTAAAAGATGATTTAAAGACTCTAATTGGCCGATGTAGATAATGTTCCAATGGTGGTTTAGCAAAAAAGAGACACCGGAACTATTCAACAATAGCTCTGTCTCCGGGCTTATACACTTTAAATAATCGGTGATTTATCTCAAAAACAACTGAAATAAACCTTGTGCTTTTTTTTTTAGAAGACTTAAGGTGATGCACCCGGACGATGCAATGAAATAAGTCCTTAACCAAACATTAAAAGTAAATGAGATTAGCATTAGTGTCAACTGTGATCTTCATTAAAGGAATAGTTCACCGTTTTTACATACTGACATATGTTCTTACCTTACCTTAGACTAGTTAATATGTACCTGTCTGGTCTTAGTCCGTGCGCTCTGTCATGCAAACGGAGCAAAAACGGGAGCACAAACGCAGCCTCCTCTGTATATTTTGTAGCACCAAAAGGTAGCTCCCGCTAGAAGCTACCAAACTCTTCCAAGTGTTCCCTATTAAATGTATATAGTTACGTGACGTGTTACACTGCAAAGTATAGTAACACAGAAATGTAACAGTCGATTTTCTCAGCGGATAAAACGGGTACTATATTGTGAGGCGTAGTAATCTGAGGAGCGCTACGTCCGCGCACTAACTTCTCTCCGGAGACTTCTCTCTCGCTCACTTCCGTCAATAGAAGCAGCGTGACTTGTAGTACACACAGTAGCAGCGAGAGAGAAGTCTCCGGAGAGAAGTTAGTGCGCGGACGTAGCGCTCCTCAGATTACTATGCCTCACAATATAGTACCCGTTTTATCCGCTGAGAAAATCGACAGTTGTGTTACTGTACTTTGCAGTGTAACACGTCACGTAACTATATACATTTAATAGGGAACACTTGGAAGAGTTTGGTAGCTTCTAGCGGGAGCTACCTTTTGGTCCTAAAAAATATACAGAGGAGGCTGCGTTTGTGCTCCCGTTTTTGCTCCGTTTGCATGACAGAGCGCACGGACTAAGACCAGACAGGTACATATTAACTAGTCTAAGGTAAGGTAAGAACATATGTCAGTATGTAAAAACGGTGAACTATTCCTTTAAGGCAAAAGCTGGAACATTGCTTCATCTTCAAACTAAACATTTCTCCTATTTGTCTTTTCAAAGCTTTGGCAGCTTACCCCTAATTTTCCTCAACAACATGAATTGTTAAAGAAGACATATCTTGCTTGTGTCAGCTACTTTGGGTTGCAGTAGTATTAATACATCTTCAACTGTTGCAAATATTGTCATGTATAAAACGATTCTATTTTGGAAAACAAACCTTTTTTAAAAAGGTTCAAAGGGTCAAATTGTTAAGTTAATAGCGTTTCTATTTGTACATTTCCTCATTGTGAGATCAATCAAGTCCACCAATGTGTACGGCAAAGACTGTATAATAATCCATGAGACATTTGGCTCATTATCATTTATTTTGTTGTTTTACAACTTAAAAATTGTTCCAAAACAATTTCATTCAAGAAAGAAGTGCACTTCTGTACTACGGTAATAAAAATGAACACATTTCACAAAATCACCTTTATCAGTCCTGTATGTGTATGTCTGACTATGTTCCTCATTGGAAAATGAGAAAAAAATAACCTGAGGACACAGTTGTACATGCCTTGGCTTTTCTTTCTACTGTGCACAGTATTTCATGCTGGTTTTCCTTTTTACAATTGTGTGTGCATGTGAAGTACTTTGGGCAGCTGGTGTTGTTATAAATGTATTGTATAAATAAACTTGACATTGACATCTGTCAGACCTGTTTTCACCAGCGCTACTTGGCCTTACTCCACTCGGCTCTACTCTACTTTGTTGCGTTTCCGTTATTCTTTAGTATCTGATTCTATATCCTTGAAACATACGCACAACAAACCAGTACCCAGGGACCTTTGCTGGTAACCATGGCAGCACACTGGCCAATGTCTGTCAGTTCCGACAACATAATACAATATAGTCGCAGCTCTGCCTCTTAGAACCAGGGCCAAGCAGGTACTAAACATAATAGTATAAGCCGAGTATAAGTGGTGGAAAGGGGCCATAAGTTGGATGTGGGTTTTAAACTTATGGTTCTTGCTGATTACATTTGGATTCACACCAATTAAAATAGATGGTTTGGATGAAAAAAGTCTGTTACAAGTGCACATTATATATTCATAATATGTGTTTACAATAATGAGCGTGACCCAAAAAACTGCAGTTGTTGATTTGACGGAGGATCATTCAGAGCCTGTTCAATGATTTACAGTAGCACTGGGGACAACCCAGGACAGCGACTTTGTACAGAGCCTTGAAAGCCGCCGTAGACTTATCTCCAGTCTTTTAGTGCAAATGGGCAAACAGCACTTTTATATGGGCTTTCTCTCCCACTAGTCGTGTTTCTCTGGAATCGACCTCCCGGTTGCTTCAAGAGACGAAGACGAGGCAGAATCTATGTCTCGCATAGATTTTTGATTGAGAATAAACAGTGTCCTCTCTTACAGTACTTGTTTTGATGCAACATGGAGTGATGTTGGGAACGTGTCTGACTTTGCACAAAAAATATAACTCCAATCCTGACTAAAGGAGTTGTGCTGCAATAAAGTCAACACGCATGCATACAGCTTTGTTTACCAATTTTATACATTGTTAGCATAAGAGTAAAAAAGAAACATACATAAGACATGAGAATAAAATCAATAACGCAGATACAAAAGCACAGCGAAGACTTTGACTCAAAACACAGGGGACATTGTAGTGTGTGTACGTGTGTGAAAGCGCATGTGTTGCTATTATTTACGATTACAATACAATACAATTTATTCTTGTATAGGCCTAAATCACAACAGAAGTCATCTCAGAGGACTTAACAAAACCATTGAAATCACCAACACAGTTCAGAGAATCAACAGTTAAAACACATAAGGAATATAGAACTCATGTTGAAAAATGTCC